CCTCATTATTTCTCTTCCTGACGTCGTCTTGCTTGGGTCTCCCATCACCCCCTCCCCCCCCCTACAGCAACCCCTCCCTCTCCTGACCTTGGTGCCTTAGACGACCAAGAGGATCAGAAACTGCGGGACAGAGTGGTGGGCAAAGTTCTGCACAAATTCAATGTGGAATACACCCGTGACACTGTGATTGGTCTAGAGCGTGAGATGGAGTATCACATCGCTGTCGTTAACCTTCACAGTGATCTGTGCGCCGGCCCGAATGAGAGCTGTGCGTCTCTCACTCGAGCGAGTTTTACGTTTCTGCACATTTCATGTGTAAGTACCTGCACTTGGGCGCGCGGTTTTGTGTGTGTAGATAGGTATGTTACTAAACAAACGTATTGCATACAGTTGTGCATGCTGAGTCAAAACATACGATTGTGCCGAAGCCCATCTCTGTGCAGTGTCTAATGAACACTGAGTTTATGCCCGAGCTTTCGTCTCTATACACGTACTGACAGGGATATCATGATTAGCCTATATGTTCAGGCCTGAGCATACAAGGTACATGTGCACGGCATCGACGTGTGCGTCTACTGTTACTCACCTCCTTACCTTCCTCCCATCCTATGCCGCATTGCCTATCCTGTGTAGATCCTTACTTACGTATCCTGTGTTATGCCGCATTGCCTATCCTGTGTACATCCTTACTGACCTATCCTGTGCTATGCCGCATTGCCTATCCTGTGTAGATCCTTACTTACCTATCCTGTGTTATGCCCCATTCCCTATCCTGTGTAGATCCTTACTTACCTATCCTGTGTTATGCCCCGTTACCTATCCTGTGTCGATCCTTACTTACCTACCCTGTGTTATGCCGCATTGCCTATCCTGTGTAGATCCTTACTTACCTATCCTGTGTTATGCCCCATTACCTATCCTGTGTAGATCCATACTTTCCTATCCTGTGTTATGCCCATGCCTATCCTGTGTAGATCCTTACTTACCTATCCTGTGTTATGCCGCATTGCCTAACCTGTGTAGATCCTAGCACACCACCACGCATCGTTCCGTGTGAAGTCAGCCTACGCCAATCTGCTGGCAGCCATTTATCTGCGGCCGTTGGCTGACACGCAGTTGACGCGCGATGACATGGTCACCATCCTGCAGACCTTTGTGGAGGAGTTGGAGGCTATTTGCGCGTGTGTGGTGGGTGTTTTTGGGGGTCTGGGTGCTGTTTCGCCACAGATTATACCGGCAAGTTCGCAGTCAGGGATCAGCAGCCAAGTTTCGTCGCCGGTGGCGGGGTGAGTTTGTGCTTGTGTGGTGTCTATTTATCTATCTATATATATATATATATATATATATATATATATATATATATATATATATATATATATATATATATATATATAGATATATATATATATATATATATGTATGTATGTATGTTTTTTTGTATGCATGTGTGTATGTGTGTATGTACATATATATATATATATGATATATATATATATATATATATATATATATATATACAT